TGAGCCTCGCTCCCCGCCGGCGCCCTCACCCGGCGCCCCTCCCTCCGTCCCAGGATTTGTCCCTGCCCCTCCCTAGTCCCCGCCTACTCTCCGGGGATTTGCTCCCCCAAGTCCCGCCCCCCCTTTGCTGGCCCCATGGGAGTCCTAGGGGGTTTGTCCAGAAGTGCCCCCTCCAGCCCCATCACCTTCTCCAATAAAGTCCTGCCTGTCCCCAGCCTGCGGCCAGTCCTTCCTTCTCAGGGGACCCCCAAGTCCTCGCACCCCTTTCCTGGAGCCCATCCCCTCTCAGACCCCCGTCTCCCCAGCACCCAGCTCTCCCTCAAGGCTCAGGGCACCTGTGGGGAGCGTAGGCTAAAGGGTGCACTATGTAGTGAGGTGGTTGCATACATTTGGGAACGTGCGAGAATATTCTGTGCTGGTGTTTTATTTCCATCAAAATATTAAGAATCACAGTGAGGAGCTGTGCCACTCAGCAAGACATGGGGTGCAGACAGGAGGCTTTGAGGGCCCCAGCCACTGGCCTCTGGTGGCCAGAAGGGTCCCCCGTGGGCCCTCCCTAAGCACCAGGCCACACGGAAACGTCTGTCGGCAAACTCCAGCTCATCCAGCTCCACGTGACCTTTCACCCAAGGACCAGTCCTCGCCGTCACCCCGCCCTGGGCGGTTGCCTTCGTGCAGTGCCGTTTCTTAAACCCTTTTCCCTCTGGGCGATTGGGATTCTTACACTTAAAAAACCAAAAGCTATTTGAGAAGAAATGGCAGAAGCACTCACTTCCCAAGTGCAGCACCTGTGGCGGGAGACTGTCCAAGCACTTGGTGCCAAAAGGTGTCATTTCAAACCCAAAGTCACTGCTGGTGAGGGTACAGGAAGGGTAAGCAGCACGGCGGGCAGACGTGGCACGTTGGTGACCAAGAGGAGAGGATGCAGGGGACCAATGGGCTGGGGCTTGGGCGCCGCTCGGCTGTCCTCTGCCCTCACCTGGACAGGTCAGGCGCTCCGCACCCAGCCCCTTTCTGGCTGGCTGTGGCCGTCAGGGCATGCGGGGACCCTTCGCCAGGCTGGGGCCCACACCGTCCATCACTGAGGCTTGGTGCTGTCATCCTGGCCCAGGACCTTGCTGGAGGGGTGGCCAGGTCTGCTCAGGTCTGGGGGCAGGGCAGCCCTTCCAGGATCCCTCTGCTCCCCACCCCCTCTGCCCTGCCTCCCTGCAGGGAGAGGAGGGGCGGCCAAGCAAGCCGGCAGAAAGCAGATGGACCGGCAGGAAGTGAGCCTCCAGCGACCACAGATGGAGATGGAGGTGGGAGGCCCAGAGAGAGGACGAGGCAGCCAGGAAGACGGCAGAGAGGCAGCGGAGTGAAGAGGCGGCGTAGCCAGGAGGGTGGGCAGAGGGGAACCCTGAGACACAGAAGCCCTGAGACGCGAGGTCCCCAGAGAACTGGGGATAAGGCACAAAGGGATGGGTCCCTGAGGAGCATGAAGGCCCAGAGAGATGGTGGAGGCAGATGCCTAAGGAGGGGGAAGCGGGGCCTGGAGATGGAGGTGCTGAGCAGAGATGGGAGTGGGGGGATAAGGCAGGGGGCAGCGAGGGCTGTAGCCCCCAAACAGAGAGGCCAGGGCAGGCACGGGGTGAGCCCCAGGGGGGCCGAGCTCTGGCTGTGCTCATCCGGGTTCCTAGCTTCTGCGCCGAGGACCGCGTGCCCTGCAAGCAGGCAGCAGGGATGCGGAGGCCCCGGCCGGGGCTGCGGGCGGGACACTCACTTCTTGCTCTTGAACGTACTCAGGATCTTGGGCATGAACTTGCCCACCTTGCTGTCCCGGGCGTCGTCCTCGGCCGGGCCCTCCCCTGCGCCTCCGCCGGCCTCCTCCTTCTTGCAGAAAACCTCGAAGCGGCTGTACA